TTGCTTTACAAACCTGCAAAGGTTGTAAATGTGAGGATTGGTCATAAAGTTACTTTTTCAGCACCATCATAACTGCAAACAGTCGCTAAACAAGGCAGTCATTAAAGAGGATTACCTGTATGTGTTTTATGTTTTTAAATTAAAGTTTTAATGTAAACCATCCTCAGCCACATAGGAAAGACAGTGAAGAAGTGAAAATTATTCTGATGATGAGCTTACAGCATGGTGAGGCAGTGGCCATGAATGAAAGCTGGGCAAAAGCTCTGTCTGGGAATATAAGGAAATCAATCTAATATGAGCAAAAAAAAAAATTTTTTAAGGCAGAAGGCAATTCCAGGCTAGGAGGGAATGTAAAAAGAGAAAAGGGTACCTTTTTTTTTTTTTTACCATGTGCTAAATTCATCATAATATACAGAATTTTAAAGAAGAAATTATATAGAATAGTTTATATCATTACATTGATCAATTATGAAATTCACTTTAACCCATAACTATTTTTTGGAGATAGGATAACACATGGAAAGGTTTTGTTTTGTTTTAATATGAGATCTTAACTGTGGCTGTCTCCAAATGATTAGCTATATTCTGAAGCCTCTCCAACATATACAATAGGGCTGTGCAGTGTTCCAAATTTGAAGGGGGAAGGTGACTCAGAGTATGTGGGGATGTGCACATAGTACTGATCAGCACCTCCTAAAATCAACACACATTTTCCTAGGATCACTCAGCAGATCAGAAGAAATAATAGAGCCTCTTTAAGAAGTTGCTGATGTCAGAATAACATTTTCCAGTTCAAATCCAGGTAGCTGCACTGCCCTACAGGCAAGGCTTATGAAGTGACACAGACTGCTTGTGTTCCACTGCTGCTTCCCTTTCAGACTGCTTTGGTAGCAGATAAGGTATTGGACTAGAACTGGGGAGACCCAGGTTCAAATTGACCCTCAGTCATGGAAGTTCACTGAGTGACTTTGGCCTAGTCACACTCTCTCAGCTTAATCTACTTCACAGGGTTGTTGTGGAGGAAAATTGGAGGAGAGGGTACTATATACACTGTCAACCTCCAGAAGGAAAGACAAGATATAAATCAAGGAAACATATATCTATTTTTAAATGGTGCTGCTTATTTTAACCTTTGGTTATGATCCATTCTGGAAAGTTTCTGCTGGAAAAGAGGTGTAAAATACTTAGAATTAAGGAATGGATATTCATGCTTCCCCAAGATGAGACATACTGTGCAAACGTTTTAGCAAAAGGCCAGTTTCAAGAACTTGCATTTCAGGTTTCAAAACTTAATAAGCAGGGAAGCAGAAAAACTAAAGAAAAGTATGCCCAGCAAGGACAGTAGGTGGTGGAGCAGACATGGTGTACTGTTAGTCTGCCTGCCTCCAAGCAGCCGTTTAATAATGCTAATAATTTATTAAACCTGTATGCCACCCAACTCCCAGCGACTCTGGGCATTTCACATCAATAAAATTTTATTTTTTTACAATAATTTTTTTTAAAAAAAGATGAAATATGGCAAGCGTGACAGACCAGGTGGAATGAAATGAAGAGTCTCACTCTCCCTTGCCAAAGGCTGGGTGAAGAGCCAGCAAAAGGGCCGCCTGGATTTTAGGGGCAACCTCATTCCAGGGGGCAGGCGCTGCTACGAAGAAGGGGCGCTTCCAGGGTCCCGATAGATTACATTGTTTAACTGAAGGAACCCAGAGCATGCCAACGCTGTCCAATTGAATTGGCCAGGCAGATACTACGGGAGACAGGCAGTCCCTCCAGTAATCAGGCCCTGTGCCACGTAGGGCTTTATAAGTAACAATCAGCATCTTGAAACGCACCAGAAGCAAACTGGCAACCAGTGCAGCTCAGAAAGCAGAGGTGTTGTATGGGCATACTGAGGCATGCACATTGCTGCTCACACCACTGCATTCCGGACCCGTTGAAGCTTCTGAGTGCTCTTCAATGGCAGCACCATGTAGAGTGTATTGCAGTAGTCAAGCCATAAGATGACTAGGGTGTGAGTGCTGTCCAAAAGCCCCCCCCCCCCAATTTAGGAAAGGGCATAACTGGTGCTCCAGATAAAGTTGTCCAAAGGCCTTCCTGGTGGTAGCCACTGCCTGCTTTCCAAGCAGAAGTTGTGAGTCCAGGAAAACCCCCAGATTGTGCACCAATTTTGAAGGGGGAAGTGTTACCCCATCAAGTTCAAAAATAGAATATCCCCAGATTTGGGTGGCCCAAACACTCACAGCCACTCAGTCTTGGTAGGATTCCTCCCCCATTGAAACCTGCACAACCTCCAGGCACTGCGACAAACCTAGACAGCTTCACTTTGCCTGGGGTTGAAAGATATAGTTGGGTATCATCAGTGTACCGATGATTCCAAACCCCAAACCAGCAGATGACTTCACCCAATGGCTTCATGTGAAAGGAAGAGAGAGAGAGTAGAACCCTGGGGCACCCCACACAGAAGGGGCCTAGGGAGTGATCTCATCCCCAAAACCAACACCAACTAGAACTGGCTCTAGAGAAAGGAAGAGAACCACCATAAAATAGTGCCATCAATCCCCAACCCACAGAGCTGGCTCAGAAGGATACTGTAGTCAATGGTACTGAAAGCTGCTGAGAGGTCAAGGAGCACAAGAATGGATGTACTGTCTCCATCCCATGTCTGCCACAGGTTATCAACAAGTGCAGTCAAGGCTGTCTCAGTAATAAATCCTGGCCTGAAACCTGACTGAAATGGGTTTAGATCATCCGTTTCCTCCAGGGTTCTCATCAGCTGCAGACCAACGACCTTCTCAACAACCTTCCCCACAAAGGGAAGGTTGGAGACTGGTTGGTAGTTGTTGAAGACCTTTGGGTCCAAGGATGGCCTCTTGAAGAAGGGGTGCACCACCACCTCTTTCAAGGCAGGAGGTACCACCCCTTCTTCAGAGAGGACCCAACCATGGTTCACCACCCTGGCCAGTTTTACAACCCAGGAGGGACCCAGATTCAGTAACCAGGTGGCTATGCTGACAGCACAGAGAATCCTGTCTACTTCCTTGGGAGTCACTGGCTTAAACCCATCCCAGATCACATTCCCAGACTATGCCCCATGCACCACAATCTACCTGTCCAGTCAGACTCCATGTTGGAGTGAATCTGAGCGACTTTATCCATCAGATAGCCTGAATAATCTTCACAGTGGCTCAACAGATTTTCCAAGGGGCACTCTCTACCCAATAGGGACTGGGCCATCCTAAACAGAGCTGCTGGACGGCTATCAGTGGATACAAGAAGGGTGGAGAAACGATTCACCACCCTTATCTCTCTGAGGTGATATCTAATATGGGCACTTGCCCATGTCCAGTTAGACTCACTTTGAGTTATCCTCCAGTGGCACTTCAGGCATCTCTTCTGATGTTTCATCTCCTGGAGCCCCTTGGTAAAGCAAGGCGCACCCCAGGATTGGCACACACGGAGAGACCGCATAGAAGCGATACAATCCAATGCCCCAGGCAGCAACTAGGGCCTCAGCTGAACTGCCCACCAGATCTTCAGGGAACACCCCAAGCGCTCTCTGGAACCTTGCTGGGTCCATCAGTCGCCTGGGGCAGGCCAGTTGAAGAGGCCTGTCTCCCTGCCTGTTTAAGGAAGACAAATTAAGTCGCTCCATTTTTCAGACATTCTGTCGTCAAGTCTGATCTTCCTATGCTTACAATAGCAGCATGTGTCCTAATGCACATCTCTCCCTGGGTGGCAGAATAGTTTATCTTTTATAATTAATATATATGTTGTTGGCTTTAATGTGAATGTGGAACCTGAGTACTGTCTGTCTTTTTCCTCAGTATTTGCCAGAGCTAGGGCAGCTGCTCCCTGCATTATCTTTTTTGATGAGCTTGATTCATTGGCTCCCAATCGTGGACGAAGTGGGGATTCAGGGGGTGTGATGGACAGGTGAGTGGTGCTTGTTGTCAACTCTTAATGCTGAAGTATTACTTTCTATTTTGACTTGCTCAGTACTGATTTTATAAGTGACCACCTTAACTCCCCCTGGGCAAATGTTAAAACATTTCCCTATCTACACTCAGTATAGTGTTCTTGGCCTGCATTCCATAAAAACTGGTCCTTGCCCCCCGCTTTAATTATGCATGCTAAAAGAGCAGGGATATCTATTTCATTATGCACATATCTTCTGTGCCTGAACTTAAGATACCAGGACTTAGTTCTAGATCATGTGAATATGTTAAATTGGGTTTAAATGTATTATATTCATCTCTCCTTCTACCAAATGCTGGCCTTCATTGCAGTTGCAGTTAATATCTGTATAGGTGGTCCTCAAGCAATGTGGTTGTAAAGTGAGATGTCATGTGACTGCATTGCTTAGTGACCACAATCCCAGCAGTCCCAGTTGCCGTTGTTAACCAAGAATTGCAGGTTGTTAGCCAAGGGCCCAACCCAATCCAAGCCATTCGAGGCTTGGTCCCTGCCAGCCCCGAGCCTCAGTAAGGTAAGGGACTGCCTCCAACTCCCCCCACCTGCCTATCCCTCTCCATCTCTGCCCTTCTGGCTGCCCTGCACCTTGCTTTGCGAGGCTCTGGGGCTGCTTGCCACACCCCAGGAAGCCACAGCTGCCCCATCCCAGTCCTAGCTGCAGTCACCTTGACCACCCTGCACTCCGAGACCCCTACCGCCCTGTGCTCCACCACCCCAGCTGACCTTTGCTGTCGTCTTGCGCCTGCTGATGAGGTGTGACTGGGCCGAAGGTGTCTGATATCTTTTGGCTTTTTTTTTTTTTTTGTTGCCGAAGCCCATCCCCTCCTGCCCCATCAACCACGCTGGGCCCAGCGT